ATGGGAGGGAGAGATCAAGGAACACTATTACAATTGTGATCAAATTTTAAATTGATGTCTTACAGTTCCTGCAGTACTGATGCATTGTTTACTAAAAGAGGTATCAATGATAGTACACGGTCTCTGGTGACAATTGATACATCTTCTGAAGCTGTTAGTACTGCCTGTCAATCAATAGTCACATGACAGTCACATGATCAGTCTCACCTTTTGGAACATCTCGTGGAGTAACTTGCCAACAAGCATGCCCTCTGTTTGACCAGAAACTTTGAATAGATCCTCAAGAATAGGCCTGGGAATGGGAGATAAGACAGATGGTATTTCGTCAAAGATCTCTAGGAGATAATTCTCCATTTTTTACTGATGCATATAGATGTACAAGTACTTTTTACATTGCATAGGAAATTTGAGCTGATTCTGATCAAAATTAAATTTTGTTATTAATTTTCAAAGTTGCTCAAAATGAGACAAAACATCCTTTACAGGGTAGTATGCTTTTTACCTTCTGGTGCAGGTGATTCCATTACTAAGACTAGTAACACTAATAAGGTAGTCTGGATTAATGATAATACAGGCGCCATTGTCATTACTGATGACAAAGTAATCTTTTGAGTGGGCGAGAGACCCTGCCCCACTTAAAGTTGAGCAGCTGGAGACAATGTGTATTATATCGCCAACTCTGATATCAGACTGAACCCTAAATAAATAAATGAAAGTTTTAAAATAATATACAATTTGCATCATTTACCAGTCATCTCTTAGGTAACATAAAATCTTTTTATCCTCCCCTTCCTTCTCTTTCTCTTTATATTTTGAAAACGGTACAAGATTGAGGACTATCTGTGTGTTTGTTCTTCCGTTGTTCTCGTCTCTGTATCTCTCCCAATTGACCGTCGTTACTTCATACCTCGGTGGCAAGGTCACATGACTATCATGTGATGCGTCTTCATCATCGTCGTAATTAACACTGATGGATTTAAATATCTCGTCCAAATCATCTCCATCATCAAACAGACTGAAATCATTAGAGTCGCTTTTAAAATCAACTCCATCCATTGCTAAACTAATTTCTTTTTTCGTAGCATCATCCTCATCTAAATTAGTTTCCACTTCATCAATGTCCTCCATTTTATCCACAAGTGCCTCCCCCTCCATCATTTCTCTTTCCATTGTCTCATTTTCTTTTTTCTTGTCTTCATTTGTCCTTTTACTAAAGGTTATTGATTCCTCATTGATATCACCATCTCTTATCAGTGGGCATTCTATAGCTGATCGAAATTTTTCCTTTTTATTAAATAGGTTTCTCTTAACACAATTACTGCCGATAGTAGAACAGTTGTCATTTTTAACAGGTGGTGATTTTACAACTTCAAAAACATCAGGCAATGTGCCTCCATCAAGTACGTAGGCTAGTTTCGTTGGTGTAAACGCTTTGCAATCGTCGAGACGCATTTGTTTGTCAGTTCCAGGGGATTCGCCTGTGGGTGTGGTCTTATCTTTTTTTGATTTGCCACGAGTTCTTTTTAGGGACAGCCGTCTGGCCTTTTGGGGTAATTTTGTAGGTGTGGCCTGTTTAAGAGGTGACGGAGCAAGTATGGGTGCTTTTGTTAAAATGATTTTTGTATTTGATGAGAGGGTGAGAGGACTGGGGGAGATGGTGGAAGGATCTGGTGTTGTCTTTTTAGAAAAGAAATGTGTAAGCTGAGTCTGAGAATTGTCCTAAAAATGAAGTAAAAAGAACACAAAAGAACAACAGATAAACCTTCTTTAAGTCCCTCTTAAGAGAGAGTCTCTTCTTAGCTGTCGCCTTCTTGTCCATCACGTTTTTGGAGCACAAGTTTCCCGGCAAATTTAGATCTCACGTGCTCCACTTTCCCGCCAGTTCCCGCGCGTAGATTTTCCTGTTGTCATGGTGACGGTAGGTCTAAAATTTTCACGTGCACACGTGTGCGTTTGGTTCCATGACAGCAGCTTCCAAGCCATTCTTTTGACACTGCGTCACCTTGCTTTCATGTCAAAGGCTTTGCAATTTTTCTCCTTTCTCTTGCTGATATTTGCCATGGTCCAGTCCGAGTTTATTCTCCCACCAATCATCTCAAACAGCAAAAGGAAATCCATCCTGAACCTTGCATCCAGTAAAAGTCTAGTACACAAGCCGGGGACGCTCCCCCCGTCACTTTTTACACTGAGACGACAGAAACCAAAGAATGGTCTTGGCTTCGGATATAACGGGCTCCCTTCGTCTTGCTTGTCCTCTCTTTACCAGGTCAAAGGTTCTGCAGATCACACCAGTGATTATGGTACTCCTGCTTCTGTCGTTGTAAATGGAGAGCACCACAAAGTCCTCCTGCCTCCTCCGTCCCTCAATTCTCTCCCTCCTCTCGTTGTGCAGATGTCGGAGCATTCGACCACAGCAAGCAAATCCGACCCTCTCCAACCTTGCTTCTCTGTTGACACAAAAGAAACAATTAAAAGTGAAGGCGGGGATACTCTCTTTGCAGTAGCTGGTGGAGGCCATAGAGAGAGGATTCATGTTGCAAAAGAGCATAGAATTAACATACCTAATAACAAGCTATTCGTTCACAAGAAGACCAAAGGAAAATCTGGGATCCCTTCGTCAAAACTCACCATAGCTTACAGCAGCGACCCTGCTATCATGAAGACCAGTGGCAGCAATGGAGAAAGGGTCCAGCAACAGCAGAAAAGCTATAGCAGTAGCAATGTTCCCAGCTCCAATCAGCTCAAGCTAGACCTCCCAGGTGATGTTCACAAGTATCAAGCTGGAGCTGATATATGCTCTATCATAAACCTACGGATGCCACTCCCTTCCACTCTTAGAACAGCAAACAATTCTTGCCCCGGGAACTCGCAGGAATTTGTGCCAAGCGAAGCACAAGCAAGAAGCAATGGCGCCAATAAAAAGAATGGGACAAGCGTGATAGTGCTAGGAAGCGGTTGTCTGGAGGGGAAGTCAAACTCTTACGAGAAAAGGAGAGAGAGAAAGACCAGGAAAATAGGAAAACATGGACAACTTGATCAATTTAATTCGGCACTCATACAATTGAGTAAGTGTTGGTATGCATGAAATTTTCATTTTTAACACTATGGCTGTGTTGATGTGATAATACTAGTTCACGCTATATGCATTACTCAAACTATAGATGTATGATTAATGACAATAATGATGATATTTCTTCTTTAATAGAGCAAGTGGTCTCCGATAGTGTTTGTAGTGAATCAGGCGAGCATGGATCCACTGATGTCTTCAAAAAGAAGAAAAGAAACAGAGAAAAGTAACAAGGATTTAACTTTCATTAAAAATGTCCAAATATTTCTCTCTTTCTAGTCCCTGTCGTTTGAACATTGTCGATTTAGAGAAACAAGCCATTCTCTTGAATGACTCTGCTTTTCCGCTAATGACAACATCCCAGCAGTACCAACAGCATAAGAGCCTTTCCAGCACCTCGACAAATGGAGGGACTGGAGCTAACACTGAGCCAGTTGAAGAAGACGTAGACTGTGCCAGCACTTATAATCAGGATGAGATAAGTAGCAGTGGACATTCCTCTAGTACAGAAACACAGCTCTCAGAGGATCCCTCTCATCACTCTGTCCACATACTTCATCGCATCTCCCTCCCTTCTAACGACGATGTCATGGACCCACAAGTCAACAAGAAGACCATCTTGAATTTATTTGCTAGGACAAGCGGTACAGGAGGAGGTATGATGTAGTTTTGAACACATTCCAGTATGCATTGTTTTTTAACATTAACAATGTCGCAGATTTTTGAAATTGATTCTTTTAAATTTCTTCTCTGTAGGTAAAGCTATCGAGACTCAATGCTGGAACCAAATGCCAACGACTCCTTTTGCGTATTACCATTTCTTGCGACGGAACAATGGCAACAGTGGCGGTATAATACGCTCCATGACTAGCACCAGTCCAGCTCCTCCTTTAGTATCCCACGAACCAATCCTTCACCATTCTCTCCAGTCCGATCTGACCATTGAAGGGAATCGTAACAGCAAAAGTACTAACTATCATAGCATGAGCGGCAACGAGGATTGCGATGATCATGTTATGGAGATGCACCACGATGAGAGCAAAGGGAAGAACAGTGCTCTCCCTTTTATCACTAGCCCAGGATTAAGTAAGTTTAACTTTAACGGCCCTTTCACACTGGCAAAAGTAATGCACATTAATCAGTGTTCACAATAGAGTGGAATTAATGTGAATTAATGGGCAATTCACTCTCACTTTACCTCAAGAGGTGGATTGATGTGAAGTGATGCGAATTCAATGTAAACCAATGGCAACAAGAACACAAAATGATACATGATTCAGCTGCTAGTGTGAACAAGATCAATGGGCATTATTTCAGCTGTATCAACAAAGCTCAGTGTGAAAAGGCCTTAGCATGCTGTTATATATATAAAGCGCTAGAAGCCTGAAATCACAAATTTCAGTCACGTGTCATATTGCTCTCTTGTTTCTCTTCTTTAGAGTCTCTCAAAGTGGCTGCTGTCAAGCTCACCCCACGCTCTCCCCCCATATCCGGGGACCCTTCTGTCTCAAAGAAGAAACCCAAACAGCCCTGTCAGGTCTCCGGTACTTCCATCGCTCTTGAAGACCCATCAAAAAAAGGCAAGTATAGATCTAATATTAGGCATTATACTATTTTTGTGTAGGTAGCAGCCAGTTTCAGTATGCTGATCCAATGGTGGGAGCCTGCAGTCGATTCCAATCGAAACTGAACAGGCTTCAGGACAGGGAGCACCTGACTATGAGGTATAAATGATGCTTCAGAGAATGTAGATTTTCACTGGAAATTTTACCATTTTAGGAAAGAAGGCAAAACTCCAAGAAAGTGAATATATATAAATGATACTCCTAAAACTACAATAAAATGTGTCTTGTTCAAGACTAGTGTATAATATAATATAACTAATCCTTTTTAAGTGTAGATTTTCACTGGAAATCTTACTATTTAGGAAAGGAGGCAAAAAAACTTCAAGAAAGTGAAAACATAAACAATACTCTCAAAAACTACAACAAATTGTCTTATTTAAAATGTATAATGTAATACAAACCAGCATCCTTTATGCTCTTCTCTTTGACAATAATTAATTATAATCATGGTCGGCATTATCAGTTTAAATTGGTTTCTTGTCATAAATTTTAAATGATACAGTGGACATAAATCAAAGTCACAACGCATGCATGTATCTCTATGCAAAGAAAGCAAAATAATAAAAGTGTTGCATGGAAAATGATAAACAAAGATTGATTTGTATGCGTTATTATTAATCAATTTGTACATGGCAGCTATAGCAATAATAATTACTAGAGGAGTTCAAAGCATCTACAGCATTATGTGGAGTTGCTGCCTTCAACACAAGCAGTGGTGTGTCCTTTGGTTTTAGAATCTATTGGAATATTCAAATCAATATCACTTAAGTGAGTTGATCCATTCATCTGGACTCTCTCATTTAGTACTACTTCCTTTGTCCCTTTCTGATGACCGGGGACACTATTGTAACTACCAGTCTCTAGTAATTGTGATATGCTAGCATTAATAGTCTCCATTCCTTCACCACACACAGACTCATTTCTGCTAAAAAGTTTCACTTCATAATTCTCATAATCTTTTCCAGGAGGAGGGCGGGACACAACTTCCATGAGAGTTGGTTCGTCTTCACTAATGAGTCCTTTCATTGCATCAACAAGACGACCTATCTCTTCTTCATCTTCTTTCCTCTCTGCCGGTAGGTCAGAGAGCGAGCAATGTAGAGCAAAAGGAGGATAACAAGATGTCAATAGTTGTGGGTGGAGCTTGAAAATTCTCGTCAGAGGGACCACCTCCTGATTCCCGTAATCCAAATACTCAACTTCGTAGTCTTTGTCTATCTTGTGGAGTACCCTTGCACGATAATAGGAATCATCTTCGGAAAACTGAGCACACACTAGCTGACCAACAACGAGCTCTTCGTTAGAAATAGTATACTGACCCTCTGGAGCAAACTGGTATATATCAGAGAGAAGGGAAGACACTGCTTCTATGACTGGGTCATAGCCAGAGAGATGACAAATGAAATCATAGGGACTATCAATACTAACTATGAAGACCTTGTACTGGGAACCAACCTCTAGAGTGGGGAGCGAGACTTCATTAGGTGCAGCAGTGGATTCTGTAATATCTGCACTAGCAGAGGGTTCTGCATTATGTTCCATTTTAGTAGCAGTAGTAGCTGATTCTAATTGAAGTCCAGCAGCAGATTCAGTAGAGAGTAAAGACTCAGATTTAAGAGACTGATCAGTTTCAATGGTGACAGTAGAGTCAGTCTTTGGTAAGCAGGTTGTTTCTGATGTATCTACATCAGCTTGTACACTAGTACATGAATCAGCAGCTTCAGTATCTATCGTATTAATGATTGAAGCTCCTTCGGTTTGCTGCAGTTGAGATGTTGCTTCACTTTTTAAGTCAGAAAATCCACCTGTGGCATCACCACTCAGATTTATACGGCCATATTGGCGTAGAATGGAGGCTCCTTCGTCAGTTTTTGGAGGATCCATAGATTCTGGAGCTACTTCCTTCAAGTTAGGCTGACAGATATCAGCCACAATATGAGCCTCTTCAATATTCATGTCTTCATCATTAGCAGCTCCCTCTGGTGTGGTTACGTTGTCAGGGATATCAGCATCTACAGGCTCCTGAGGATTTGAGAGCTCATCAGTGTTGAGGTCACCTTCTTTGTCTTCATCTCCTTCTTCTTCTTGTTCAATGGCAGTAGCTTCAGTCTCTATTGCATTACCAGTCTGTTCTGCTTCTAACTCTGATCCTACAGGGGACATGAAAATAAATACAATTGTGCTGTCGCATGTATACACAAAATAATAATGCAAAGAAAGATGAACTTTTAGTAACTTTAAAAATTTGTAAAAAATCCAAATTTGATTGGAATCAGCTCAAACTTTATACACAACATAAGAACATATATATGTATCAGAAAAAGTTATAAAAATGGAGAATTCTCTCCTAGTCATTTTTGGTGAAATTTGGCTGATGACCCTGTACTATAGTACAGGGACTTTGGTCCAATTTTTGAGTAACTTTTAAAATTAGTAAAAAATCCAATTTTGATCGGAATCAGCTCCAAGTTTATAGGCAACATAAGTACATGTATATGCATCAGAAAAAAATTATAAAAGTGGTGAATTTTCTCCTTTTCAATTTTGGTAAAATTTGGCTGATGACCCTGTATTATAGCACAGGGACTTTGGCCAGATTTTTGAACAGCTTTAAAAAAATTAAAAATCCAATTTTGACCAATATTTCATGAGAACACACCTTCTAATGACAGCTCTGGTACCACATCGTCATCATCTTTGTGTTCAACATCTTCCAGCTCCTCTTCCTTTACTCCTACATGTACATTGCTTTCATCTTTACTATTCTCTTCAACATTTTCTACAATGTCAGTGGAAGGCATTTCATCAGTAGGTTCCTTGGCCACGCCCTCATTAGTATTATTATTATTATTAGCTTGCGAGAGGCTTTCTTGTGGTATCTTGGAAGAACTGTTTTCCTTGATGCAAACGAGTTCCAATTTCTCTCTCAGGGTCTCTATCTTAGTACCTAGATCCTCCCCGTCGAAACTAGAAGGACTCTCTCCTTCTTTACTTCCCTCAACCGAAACTGATGATTGGTCCTGTTGACTGATAGGCTCCCCTTCTTGTAGGAGGAGCTTAGAGTCAGGAGCTCCGCCCTCTTCACACTCCTTGTCCAATTCCTCAAGAACTTTTGACGCTATGTCCAAACCTGTCTCAGGATCAAGGAGAGATACACTAGCGGGTATATTCTGACGACCGGGTAACACAACAGTTGCTTGAAGCTCCTTTCCTTCAGTTAGTTCTACAATACACTTTGAATATTCATCAGGCCAGCCCTCTCTAGATGGAACCTGAGCTAGAGACACAGCTATCGCTTGGACTGGCAGTTCTAGGAAATTCCCTGGACACATAATCATATTTTTAGAAGTCACAGTCTCCTTGTTGCCATAGTCTATGAACCTCACAAGAAAAGAGTCGACAGAGACTTGCTCGAGCACGTGAGCCCGATACCAAGTGACGTCAGATTCGTACTGAGCTAACACAAAATCACCGCTTTGATACGATTTCTGATACAGCTGACCGGCACAATCGGCACAATACTGAGCTATCTCGTTCGACAGAGACTCAAGCTCAGCATAACAGTCCACCCTCTGTATATAAAACAACGACGGGTCCTTTACATACACCACGTTAACTTGAAGAGTCTCGCCGGCAACTAGCGACAAATGACAAGGAGCATGGATCAACGGCTCGCCAGTCGCAGTGCTGTCCTCTTCGGACTCCTCCAAATCCGTTGTAGGGGATTTCGACATCTTTAGTAATAGGTTCTCAGCCCCACCATCCGTAGAGTGGAATGGAGATATCTCAAGGTCTTTACTGAGTTCGTCATCCCGCGAGCTAGTGTTAAGGGGACTGCTCATCGTGTCCAAAAATGAAAAGTTTACTTTCTGACTCCCGACATAAACATCAACGAAATATTTAGAGTCCGAGGAGGAGAGGACGGTCAGCACGTACTGCTCCTCTTCTTTCACAGTTCTTATAAATCTCTCGGATATCGTGGGCGTGACTTTATGTCCATCCTCGTGTTCTCCGCCCGGTTTCATGACAGAGCAGTGTAACGCTTGAACAGGTACACTCAGAAACTGAGGAGGGAGGGGAACGACCTTACTCTCGTCCAACACAAAGAGATTACCGTAATCAACATAACGCACAAATATCTTCCTCTCCGGGATATTCACCGAGTCGATCTGACCACGATACCACTCCGAGTCATCGGAATAACGAGCCAAACAGGTTTGACCAGGTTCTAATGTTTCCAGTGGGGATGGTTTAGGAGCCTGGACTGACGACATGAATTCTGATATTGTAGACATGAGTTCTTCGAGTTGACTTGCAAGACCGAGAGGTTGACAGTAAAAGTTATCAGGAGAATTGACGCAAGTAACAAAAACGTCCACAGTGGATCCTGGCTGGTACTGGGGTAGGTAGTAAGTGGGTGTGGTTTCCCCACCCACCAGTGGAAGTCGAGGAGAACCTGACGGTGATGTGAATAATTCGTTCAGAGTTGTTCCTTGTTGATCGCTTAGTTCGACGTGCCATTCGCTCGACGGTAAGAGGGACTTGAGATGTATTGTGAATGAGTCCTCGTCAAAATTGAGAGAGAAGAAAGCTTCCAGCTGCTCTTCTGTGAACGACTCCCTCACAGACGAGAGAAGAGAGCAAGGCAAAGCCTGACAGGGAAGATGAGTAAACTGACAATCCAATTTCTGTATCATGTTAGAAGGACTCACAACCTCTTCGTTACCATAATCAACAAATAAAACTTTAACGTCCGGCGTCTCTCCTACTTCTTCTCCACTTCTCGGAATGACTTCAATGATCTGTGCCCTATACCAGCTGTTGTTCTTGTTATATTTCGCTGCACAATAAGATCCAATCTCTGGCTCCAAGTGAAGGAACTTGTCGGTATAAAAATCAGCAATATGAGCCATCAGCTCGTCAAGATCTTGGCTCTCCTTCACCAGCTGGCAATAAAAGAGAGATGGAGACTCAGAATGACTGATGTAGACCTCGTACTTCTCTCCTGTCTTCACTTGAAGCATTGGTATACTGGACTCTTTTAGCGGAGAGGGAGGACGCTGGAGAGGAGAAGGACACCTCTCGCTCACCGATGAAGAGGTGATCTGGGTCACTTGGACATTCCACAGTGGCAAACAAGACGTGGGTAGCTCCTCTTGCGAGAGGAACTGGAACGATAGGGGCTCGTCCCATTCTATAGCTTCGGTAGATGATTCTAGTCTACAACAGATTGCCGACATCGGTAAAGATCTAAGTTCATTTTTAAGTACAAATACTTCACTGACAATATCAGTGTTACCATAATCAACAAAGAGGACTAGGATAGACGGAGAGGGCGGGGCCAACACAAGAGCCCTGTACCACTTGCCGTCAGCGGAATACTTGGCACAACAGGTTTGACCGGTTTTTGGATTAGGTATGAGTTGGTCAGCCTCAATAGATGAGTATTCCTCTTCTAGTTGATCTCTCAAAGCCTCCAATTCAACTGATTGCACAGCTGGTGTCACCCAGACTCTCTTTCTTCCATCGTCAGCCTCGTCCTCTTGATACGAGAGATAGACAGAGAGGGACTCACCAACGCTCACAGGATAACTCTTTATCAAACGCTCGGACTCTCGTTGTGATAAAATACCATCTTTTCCAGGAGGTTTTTTGTCTGTAACAATAGCAGCAGCTTCGTTGTTACCCAAGGGGGCAGTAATATTCCTCTCAATATTCCCCTGGGGGGTTGCAGTGCTTGTCTGTGTAGCTGGTTTCCTTGTGTAGTATCCGTTATTTAAAACCCATTCAATAAGATCACAAGAACCTTCGGCGAGTTTAATCCTCACAATATGTAGGCCATTAGTCTCATTACATTTTACTACACTAATAGTACACGAGGCTTCAAATAACTCACTCTCCATATTTTTAAAATCTTTTCCCGAGGGAGCTAGATCCTCCATTCCTTCCAGAGCACACTCTATTGATTGACGAGGGAAAGAGGAGAGAGAAGGGGAAATGGGATGTACCCGATTTACAGGGACATCTTCTTGGTTCCCGTAATCGAAATAAAACAGACTGACCGTCCCTCCTGATAGGGCGGTAATTATGGCTCTGTACCAGCTGTCATCTTCGGTGAATTTGCCAAGAACGATGCCTCCTACTTTTAAAATATTAGTCCCCAGGTTCACGTGAGGTGCAGGGTTCTTCATAAAGGTTTCAATCCCTGCTGTTAGCTCCGTCATAGACTCTTCACTGGATAATAGTTGTACATAAATGGAGCCGATAGAGGAGATGGACAGTATCATGGCTTCTTCCTCTTGTCCTGTTGATAGGAGCTGGAAAGGAGGAGCTGTCAGTTCAGTTGAAGGAACTATTAAGAAACAAAATAAAATATAATAAATATCAATTTAAATAGCAAATCGGTACTAAAATATTAAAAACAAATCATTCATGTTTAAAAAGAACTACATGTATAATAGTCTTTTACCTTTACTAATCTCAGTGTTTCCTTTAGTAGCAGTTGAGGTTCTCTTGCTGGACAGTACTTCAGTCAGCGATTGCTTGACAGATAAATCCACTTCATAGCAGTCACCATGTCGGTCAGTCCTAAAGGTCACTTCTACATTTCGTCCCAGTATGGCAGACCTGATCTCGTTAGAGAGTTTAGAAACCTCTTCGGCTGCTAGGTTTTTAAAGTCGGCCAGAGAGCAGCGAACAGCCTGACTAAACAGATAATAAAACTGCCTCTCTAGAACGTAAAATTCTTCACAGATGCTGCTGATGAGGTGAGTCGAGCCTTCGTCTAGACAAAAAACCCTCACACTCCCATCAGGCAAAACCTCGGTCACTTTACAGCGCTGTAGCTTATCTCCAATTAATGCACAACAATAAGACCCGGTCGTCGGGTCTGTAAAAACCGCGCCTCTTTTCTCGTCCCCGTAAAAACAAGCAATCGACGACATTGTAGACGCTAGTTTCTGAGCATTCCAAGATGGCTGTACATAAAACTCTAACGGAGACACAAAATGAGAGACACGCCCACTCATTGGAGAAGAGAGACTAGGGCGGAATGGGTCAATGACATCCTGAGCTCCTGATCTATAAGAACTCTGACTAGACTCACTATTGTTCCTCTTATGGTGATAATCCCTACCAGAACTCTCGTCCCGTCTTCTTGTACTCTCGAACGATCCATCCCTGCTTCTCTCTCTTCTACTGCTATAATCAGAGCTCCTTCTCTCGTCTCTGTAGCTCTCGCTCCTTTTAAAAGGTACGTCCCTTCTCTCTCTATTTTCTTCATCTGATCGGTATCTTTCTCTCCTGGAGGTACTCTCGCGAGAAGTGTCCCTCTGTCTGGAATCGAAAGAGGAAGGTGCGTCCCTTCTCTCTCTATTTTCTTCATCTGATCGGTATCTTTCTCTCCTGGGGGTACTCTCGCAAGAAGTGTCCCTCTGTCTGGAATCGAAAGAGGAAGGTGCGTCCCTTCTCTCTCTATTTTCTTCATCTGATCGGTATCTTTCTCTCCTGGAGGTACTCTCGCGGGAAGTGTCCCTCTGTCTGGAATCGAAAGAGGAAGGTGCGTCCCTTCTCTCTCTATTTTCTTCATCTGATCGGTATCTTTCTCTCCTGGAGGTACTCTCGCGAGAAGTGTCCCTCTGTCTGGAATCGAAAGAGGGCTCCTTCACGCTGTCTCTGAAACCAGTCTCATTTCTTCCTTTGTCTCTCGTGATACTCTCGTAGCTTTTCTGAGATCCACTCGGAGAGGATCTATCACTCCTTGAAGAGTGAGATCCTGAGGGTTTTGATGACGGAGGTTCGCTCGTACAAGGGCTGGTATCTGATTTAGTGTTTGAATCAATGGATTTCAGAATGAGATCAGTTACTGATACGCCTGACATGGGATCAACCAGTTGACACGATACACTTGACACGGCATCACTCAACTTGAACTGACACTGATACTGATTGTCTAGACACTGATCCTGAAAATATGTGATCAAATCGTCTGTAATCACATCCTCCTTGATACCAGTGAGTGAGCATGACACGGCTTGAATTGGAAGCGATAAATATTTTGATAATAAATCTCTCGTATTCTTCAACATTATCAGCTCTTTGTTACCATAATCGATAAACAAGATCTCAATGGAGTCACTCCCGTCCACACAGAGGATTCTTCCCCGATACCAGAGAGAGTCCTGGTCAAACAGGGCGGCACAACAGGTTCCAGGAACCGGTTTGACTGGTTTCGTTGGAGTGGACGGATCGTTGTAGTGTTCAGTCATCTGAGAGACAAGAAGGGAGAGAGAATTAGAGTTCTCTTCTAATTGACAGGAGAATCCTAATGGCGACTCAATATTTGAAATAACAACAGAGACTGGTCTATCAGTGACTAATGTTAGACGAGGTATATCATTTGAAGTAGACTGAGTACTGACTTTCTGACCACACCCACTACTTAGACTTCCAGCAGTCTTACTGTTGGATATTAATTCCGTCATTATATCTTTTCCTTTTATGAAAAATTGAACCGAATAAACAGAACGACCCTCCCTCTTTTCCAACCTGCTAGCCATACATGTTGTGGGCGTGGCAGCTACCATGTCAAAAAACGAATTTATAATTTCGTCATTTTCAACTAGAGATGGATCAATATCACAATAAGAGCACTCAAATGCTTGAATCGGAAGGCGAAGGAATGACTCGGGGATGACCCTAACATGATCCAAATTAACCAACTCAGAGTTACCATAATCAACAAAGTCCACACTCCATTTACTCTCTCCACCTTCTTCTGGTGGACAAAGTCGGGCCCTGTACCAGTTATCGTCTTCTGAGGACTTTGCAAGGACGGGAAGGTTTTTCCTTGCGACTGGTATTTTCTCGGCGTCTGGGGAGACGGCATATTGACCAATCAGAGTGGATAACTTGTTGAGTTCGTCCAAATGATCGTTAATTTGACAGTAAAACTTATCCAAAGTGACTATATAAGGGACAGAGACAGATAGAGGGGACTGAACTGGTACCACAGCTTCTCTGAAAGGATTGAAAGACGGTTTCTTGGTGGGAGTCATAGTTGGAGAAGATTTAATTGGAGATGCTGTTTTAGTGGGTTGTTTATCAACACTATTGTCTCTCTTCTCCTCTATATTACTTGTGTCAGGAGGTGACCGTGGCTCAATAGAAATAGCATGTCCTTCTTGTATTAGTATATCTCCAAGGCTTTGGCCCAAAGCAACGTCCTTAAGCTCTACAGAAGGATACCCATCTTCATCTTGACCTTTAATGACAGCTAGTAGCTCAACATCTGTGTATAACTCTTCAAAACAAGCAATGGCCTCAGGAGACCATTTATCTGATACAGGACGTATTCCTGCCATAGAGAAGCTAACAGCTTGTGCCGGTACCTTGAAAAACTGGCGTGGCATTGAGAATATTGCAGATACTTCCACTGACTCAGTATTCCCGTAATCAACATAAAGAACTTTAGCAATGAACGATGCCTCATCCCATTCGTCTATAAGTCCCCTGCACCAGTTACCATCAGAGTATCTAACACAGCAGGGCTCACCAGGTGCTAGTAGCCCGCCCTCAAGTATTTGAACTTTATTAGCTGACAAACCACTTTGTAGGTCAATCACAAGTTGATTTAGTTCGTCAGTACGATCAGAGAACTGGCCCCAGACGACGTCAGGCGACTCGGCATGAGAAATATAAATCTTGTACTCCAAACCAATCTCAAATGACAGGTAAGCATATTTGGATCCAGTGGGCGTAGCCTCAGACTCAGTTGGAGGTGTGGCCAGGGGCTTCTTGATCAGTTTTGACTTTGGAACCGAGAGCATCTTTTCGGGCGACTCTTCCGGGTGTGTCCCCATCGCCATGGAAACCATTTCCTCGGCAACGGTGTAGTCGCTGGACTCCTCCCAGTAAAGGGTGGTGAGGTAACATGGAACATCGTGCTCTGTGAGGAAGGAAGCATAATCCGGACACTCACCCCAAAACAAGGCAGGGACTTCCTGCATGTTAATATTATCAGATAAAGCAGCAACAACCTCTTCCGTCCAGACGCCATCTTTAGGAACAAAATTAGCCAACTGGCACTGGACGGCTTGATAAGGCATCTCGAAAAATTTAGAAATATGAGGAAAGAGGCGAGAAACAGGGACATTGGCTTCCGTATAACCATAATCAAGATAATATAGACTGTAAGTAGTAGGAGAGTCTAAACTCATAACAAGACTCCGATACCATGTATTGTCTAGTAGCGACTGGGCAAAGCATTTGGCACCCACCGAAGGTGAGAAGCTTCTATTCTTATCCAAATTGTTTCGGACCACTTCGGCTATCTCTTGAGAGAGTCTGGGTAAGTCAAATGCTTCTGGTGTATCCAAGTGAACATAGAACAGGCCTTCTTGGGCTACCGTCGTAACAAAGACTTTACGCTTTGTATGATAAGAGATTAGCTGTGACATTTTTATAATCCTTTAATCCTTTGAATCCAAAATGTGCAAATTTATCTATATTAGTAGCAACCAAAGGGTTATTAAAAGAGAGAGAGAGAGAGAAAAAAAAGCACGATAAAATGAAGTCAATATATTAATCAACAATGTAGGGTTCTGCCTAGAAAAAATTAGAGGTGGTTGGTGACTAATATTGTTCCTTTTAAGCTTATGTACACCATACTAGTAGACTACAATATCATGCTTTATGTATGGTTATTAGTATTATTTGGATGGTTGGTCTAAGTGATGAACTGGTTGGTTCATTTGTTGAGGTGGTCGTCCCGACCACCCCCCAACCACCATAGGCAGAACTATGTAATGACACTAATAGTTATACAGAATTGCTATTCATTACTGACCTTTCTCAATTGTAAAAGGTACTCTTGCTTCACCTTGTACAACAGCCTCTCTACAATCTGATATCAACAATGAGGACAATCCAACAAGTCTTGTTAATGTGTGAATACTACAGAATTTAAAAAATGACGCAAAATCATTAAAATGTATTTTTAACTTTCTAATTAGGCACACCCAGGCACACGTCGTATGAGCTGGGCTACAATAACTTTAATTGAATTAATTACATGATTAATATTCTAATTGCATTAAAGAGTCTGATTAGAATCAGCTATTCCCCTTATCAAAATACTACATCTTGTGTACACAAAAGAACAGAATAAGCTGACGCGTGTTGGACAGGCTGGTGGTTCGGTTTTACAGCTGTTAAGCTTCGTTCATAACGGAATTGGCTCTCAAGGGAAGAAAGAGGCTTATAAAACATCAAATGAGGCTCAAAAAGAAGCACAATATCAACTGTAATAAAAAACAAACAACATAGACTACTTTTATAAAGGTAGGGTATTAAAACTGAGGGGTACAAGCTATTTAGGTAGAATCCAGGAAAACATACCTTCCTCTGAAGGATTAGGTATTTAAATAAAAGCAGCAGATGGTTCCTCGTCTCTCTCTTTGCTTCACAACAACTTCGGACAAGACGGAGAGGACATCTTTCCACACATGCCGGCACACTGATGTGCGCATGCGCAGAAACAAACCCCGCGAAAACTAAGTAATTTTAATTAAAACTCTTTTTATTGTTGTGTTGTGTTTCATTAAAATTCATTCATTTTCTTTTTATAAATTGCTGTGATATGTTTGTCAAGTTTTATAGCTTTAGATTCCATCTCTGCCCATAGTTTCTCCAGAGCCTCTTTGCTGGTAGCTTGTTCCAGCCTACACAATAAATAACATTGGGTATTTACTCTGACAAACTATTTCCACTCTACCCGTACTTTTGAGCATAGCGATACAACGTAAGCTCATTCAAACTAATAGTCTTGCAGCCGTCTTTATCACAAAGATCCAGAGCCTACACAGTTAATGTATCATTATTAAATATTATGTTATTATTAACGTACTTTGTTTCGTTGAAGGTTTTGCAAGAAATGACTCCCTGAGTGTTTCTCTATTGTTTCTAAAGGAACTTGGAAAGTTCTTAAGGGACAATCAGAAACAGGTTTGTTTGGTATTATAAAAGAACCTGTAGAATGAAAAGTTTGAGCTGATTCTGATCACAACTGGATTTTTAATAAATTTTTAAAGTTGCTCTAGAAGTCCCTGTACTTATAGTACAGGGACTCAGGCTAAATTTCACCAAAATTTAAAAGGAGAGGATTAGCCATTTTTATAACTTTTCCTAATATATATACATGTTCTTATGCTGTGTAGAAAGTTTGAGCTGATTCCAATCAAAACTAGATTTTTTATGGATTTTTAAAGTTACTCAAAAATTAGACCAAAGTCCCTGTACTATAGTACAGGGTCTTTGGCCAAATTTTGCCAAAAATGACTAGGAGAGAATTCTCCATTTTTATAACTTTTTCTGATAGATATACATGTTCTTATGTTGTGTAGAAAGTTTGAGCTGATTCCAATCAAAACTAGATTTTTTATGATTTTTTAAAGTTACTCAAAAATTGGACCAAAGTCCCTGTACTATTATAGTAAAGGGTCTCAGGCTAAATTTCGCCAAAAATGAAAAGGAGAGAATTCACCATTTTTATAACTTTTTCTGATACATATACAAGTTCTTATGCTGTGTAAAAAGTTTGAGCTGATTCTGATCAAAGCTGGATTTTTTACGAGCTTTTAAAGTTGCATAAAAATTTGACATTTTAATAACCTAGTAATGGCGGTTCTTCATCTTCACGCTCTGCCAACAGAATCTTGAACAAGTGAGTAGGAACACTAACATTATTATCACCAATAACCTATTAATAATTATTATTCTATAATTATTAATTTAATGTAAGCACCTGGTGGCTTATAATTTTCTTCCCATCTCTTTCTTCAGGTAGGAAAAGCGGTCCGGATATAACCGTCAAGCTGTATCCTTTCTTAACAAGCTGACGGCAATAATTCTCCAATCTATACCAATAACTGAGAGAAAAAAGAGAGCAATTAATTTTTATTTAATATTAAATAAACTAACCCCGCCCACTAAAATTAATTAGCTTTATTAATAATAATTAATTACTCTATATTATTGTCCAAATCTTGTGGTAGGATATTAGTTAGATAAAAAGTATCGTCCATGCACTTTTGATCGTGCTTATAATTACCGGCGGCGGCCATATGCCCTCGACTCCACCCACTGTTAAAATAATCAGTATTAGCGGACGAGTAGTGCGGGGAAACAAACGGGTCGGGCTTTAAAAAGAAATAATCAAGTTATAATAATAGAAGATAATTTACTTGGAAATTTGAGCGGTGTCTGTCTGCAGTGATCTCCTTCTTTATATCGTGAGGGCTAAGTCTCTCAATAACCCAGAGAGGTATCTTCCTGGCCCTGTCATACGCGAGGGAGTGAGCAGAATAAGAATGAAAAGAAACTGGAGAGTCTGGCCGACCATATCTACAAACAAGAAATAATATAAATTTTAGACAAAAAAATATAGATCTAAATCTACTTGAAAACTTTGGGCTCGACTTTAAGATCTTCTCTCTCTTTTAGAGTCAGATATGTTCCTACAACACCACTGGCAGCTCCGATAGAGAAAGCAGCAATTCTATTCATTTTGGCGCCATGTTTTTTTGTTTTTATTATTTTTGCTCACGTGAGGAAAAGTTTGTTTCCATGGCAATTTGTTGTCATAGAGATAGGTTGTTATGGCGACTTGTTACCATAGCAATTTCGTTGCTAAGGAGACCAGCAACAGTAGTGCAACTTGCTGTTGTAGATTATGGGACGAGTTTTTTAAAATGCCAAGACTAACAGTAGACTTGCTCGCCAGATGCACTGGCCATGCTACAAAAAGGAGGAAAGATGAGACGCAGGAGCAGTTTCTAGCCAAAGTGACGCATTTGTACTGCTCAGAAAAAGGGCTTGAAATGATAGTGAGTGACTTTCTTGGCCCAACAGCAGGGACTAATGAGCAATTTTTAATGATAGGAAAACCTGCACTACTGCCGCAATCTCTCTGTACTGTACCTGTATGACAATCAAATAGAAACAATAAGTGGACTCCATAGCTGTCATCATCTCACTCACCTCTACTTGCAGCATAACTCCATCTTTAGAATGGAGAACCTGGACAAATTGAACAATCTCACTAAACTGTAAGAGTAATCAGTTAACACCCTCCCATCTCTTTATTTATTTTTTAATAGATATCTTAGTCATAACTCCATACAACTAGTAGAAGGGCTGGAACAATTATCACGTCTTTCTGAGCTCCACATTTCACACCAAAATCTCCCCGAGGGAGAAAAGCTTCTCTTTGATCCACGCTCCCTCAAAGCTATAGTGGTAAGTCTGCATAATGCATCGTTTTGCAATAATGTTTGATTACCTTGCAGAATAGCCTCACGATTCTTAATGTATCAGGCAATCGCCTAGCAAGCTTAGAAGACATAGGTCTGCTGGTCAATCTTGAGCAATTGATGGCTACTGATAATGACTTGACTAGCATGAAGGTATGCTCATAATGATGCATGCTGCAAGCCTTTCTGCTCTTTTTATTGCTTGCAGGATTTAGGAAAGGTTCTCTCGAGGTTTATAAAGCTATGGAAACTGGAGCTTAATGGAAACCCACTTTCTTACAAGCAGAAATATCGTGACAGGGTTGTGACAATGTGTCACAGGCTAGGTGAGTATTGATACTAATGCACAATATGTGTCACTCAGTACTTACTATCACTTTAAATTTATAATGGAGAGACATATTCATGTAATCCATTTTTTGCTGTTTTATCAGAGTCACTTGATGGCAGAGATGTAAACGAGATGGAGAGACAGTTCCTATTTAGCTGGAAGGCAATGAGAAAAGCACGTCAACAGTTGACTATAAAACCAGGCAGCAAGAGCCACTTTGAAGTATGCTATAGCAATAGTCATGCTACCTATGCATGGTGCATCTTTCTTTTTTAGGAAATAGATTCAAAATCTCCCAGACCACCTCCTACAATGCCTCCTCTTCCAGCCCGTCAGCCATTCAGACTCCATTTATTGCAGCAGAAGAGAAAAAGACAGCTCATGGGTCTCATACCTGCAGCTCAGTTTGAAGCAGCCACAGTAGCTGCAAGTGAAGCACCTTGGCAATCTGCAATGAATTTCCACCTCCCACAAATTGGATCAGATAGACTTGTTTCACTGGCTGGGTTGAATCCACAGAATGAACTTCCTCGCTACGACTTGCTTCAAAATAAAGGAAGCAAAATCACAACACTACCACCCTTATTATTTTAAATAATAATAATGTAGTATAATTATTTATTTTAAATAATAAAATTTATGCAGGTAATTTCAATTAACGAGCCACGCCTAAGTAATAACTAGCCACGCCTTTAATAAAACCGCAAAACATGGCTGACAGAAGAGGGTATGTTTTGTGCATGTAAAGCAAGCTAAAGTTATTGCTCTCTTTCTATCTTGCAGTTTTAATCCAAATCCTGAGTTAAGCAAGCTATGCACTGAGCTATGGGAGCTGGATGAACAAAGGCTGGTCATTGGAAAGGACGTTGTTATTGATTTACAAGGACGTAAGCTTATGTCTTATTAAAAATTATACATACATACATGTATACTAACTATTGTGCTTGCAAAGGGAAAAAATTTAAATCTTTAATTTTCGTGCTCTATATTTTCAATGGCAGGTACATGGGCCAGTGATAGGAGAGACAAAGCAGAAGATCCATTGTTCTCGTACGTGGATCCGACTTGTTTTGCAAGACCAACTTTTAAGCTATTCATTGCTCTTCTTGATAACTATGAAACAAGCACAGGTAATTGATAAGTAATGTTTGTTGTTAGGAGTATGTAGTTGATTTTATGTAGGCGTTAATGAAGAAGTTACGGATGAAGAGGTTAAAGAGAACAAGCTGTTTATTAACGCTATAATGGAAACCAAAGTACTTTATCATTGTTATGACGTGTAGGTGTGTGTAGTACAGGGTTTTCAGTAACTTTAAAAATTTGTAAAAAATTCAAATTTGATCGGAACGAGCTCAAACTTGCTACACAACATAAGAACGGGTATATGTATCAGAAAAAGTTATAAAAATGGAGAATTCTCTCCTAGTCATTTTTGGCAAAATTTGGCCAAAGACCCTGTACTATAGTACAGGGACTTTGGTCCAATTTTTGAGTAACTTTAAAAATTCATAAAAAATCTAATTTTTATCGGAATCAGCTCAAACTTGCTACACAACATAAGAACATGTATATGTATCAGAAAAAGTTATAAAAATGGAGAATTCTCTCCTAGTCAGTTTTGGCAAAATTTGGCTGAAGACCCTGTACTATATAGTACAGAGACTTTGGCCTAATCTTTGAACAACTTAAAAAATTCATAAAAAATCCAATTTTGATTAAAATCAGCTCAAACTTTCTACACAACATTAGTACATGTATATGTATCAGAAAACATTATAAAACTGGAATTTTTTTCTAGTCATTTTTGGCAAAATTTGGCTGGTCACCCTGTACTATAGTACAGGGACTTTGGCCCGATTTTTGAGTCAATTTTAAAATTTGTAAAAAATCGAATTTTGATCAGAATCAGCTCAAACTTTCTACATGTACATGACATAATAACTTGTATGTTTTATGTTTCTTTGCTATCCTAAGGTTATGAAAAGAGCTCACGATTATTTGGTGTCTTGTGGCAAAAGTCCAAGAGAGATCATACCTTTTAAGAGACAGCTGTATGACATTTGGTTTAAACTCTACAGAAGGTCAGCAGATAGCGCCATCCACGACGATAATTTTAAAAACAACAGCCTTGCTTTAATTTAATATTATTTTGTTAAAATTACATTGTATAGTCTACACAATTTTAGCTACATGTTCAATCATGGCGCCACCACCTGTATAATAATTGTACTTTGAATTAGAATCTAACTCAATCAGTCTTTGCGTGACCTGCCAACATTATTGGCCAAATTCTCGACCACGCCAATAATTATCTTTGATTAATTAAAATTCATTAGTGCATACTTGTGATTCATTACTACACTTTTATCCCTAGCAACAGTTGCCAATGGCAACCAGCGTATAGCAACAGCATATATATTTGTAAGAATGCTATAATTGAGTGATTTAGTGTAGTGGGACTTTCAAACTTGCAATTTGGGGATTCTTCTACAATTTGTCTAATAATTTGATTCAATTACCATACAAGATGATTTATTGGCGGGAGTAATATTTTGCAAATTTGCCTGTGGAAAGAAATTGGCAAATTTTATATTGGCGATTTCTTCATAGAACCGCCAATTGCCAATATTAATTCCCTGCCCATGAATCATCTTGTACGGTATGTTTCATCATATCATTGTGTGATTGCTTTAGGACGAGAGGTGTTCTGGACTCATCTGGTTTTGAGCACGTCTTTGTAGGAGAGACTCGTGACGGGAAAATCCTCGGGTTTCACAACTGGATACAGTTTTACTTGCAGGAGAAAGCCGGTAACGTTGACTACCAAGGCTACGTCAGACACGGAAAGGTAACGAGACATAAAGAACTACTAAAATATTATTTTCAATTCCTTCATGCTAGCATAATGATTACCTACTGACGATAAAGTTTACATGGAACAAAGAGGTATGGAATGCTGGTACTGTACATCAAGCAGACATATTGTTTTTTTGTATTGAAACTATCTGTTCCCAAATTTATGCCATGCAACTTTAGTTCACAGTGTGACCATAATGAATCGAAATGTAGTAATTGAGAATTATTAGTGCCTAATTGGAGTTTACATTGTAGCAATTAAGATCTATTATTTAAATTTCAACAGTAATGTAGTAATTAGCTTTATACCAGAGCTAACGTAGTAATTGAGTCTTCTCCAACAGGTGAAACCTTTTGGCAGCACTTTTGTTGGCACAAGCCCGGAGTTTGAAATGGCTTTGTACACAATCATGTTTCTCTGCTCGCCAGAGGAGACAACAGATCTTGACATAGCAGGGCAGAATGTTACCATCACGTGTTACAAGCATGGCCTCAATTTAGGCACTTCTTATCCAAGTGCTTCAAAATAGAACTGGTATTATTGTATTTTCATAAAAAGCTATATAGATCTAATTATTATTATTTTTGGTGGTGTTATTTATTTTCATACTTATTTATTTATTTTTTAATTTTCCCAGGTCTTCTATTGCAACATGTCATGTAAATTTTACACAATTAGAATTTTGACTTTAAAGTGTGTATACAGCATGCATGTGCATGCATGCATGCATGACTGTCATCTCTGAAAGTACACACTATTGTTGACATAGAGCCCTCTTTTTGTTCCACTTTCATATCCACTGGCTCAAAAGCATACGTGTAAACACGAAGGGCTGCATGTATACGGAATGCGCGTGTTATTTAACTTCGGTTTAAGAATAATAATGGAGCCATATTGAAACTAAAAAGTGCAAATACTACAAGTGTCTCAGTTTCAATAGATTATAATGACATATTGTGGAGTCATTTTAATAATGAATGTAGATCTATATATAAGATCTAGATTTATTCCTAAAAGTTTCGTATCACATAAATTCACATTTATATGAAAGTTCTTAAATTGCACAAAAACTTTATAACTTGAATACTTGTCTATCGCATTAGCACTACCTTGAATTGTCCTGGCATTGTAGAGCTATAAGGATGTAACAGGTTCTACTAATTTAAATGTTATGGTGATATAGAAGCGTGTAGCCACATGGGATGTGGTTATTTTTGTGGTACAGGATATGCTATGCTTTCAAGTTTCAATGATTGCTTGAAATAATAATTAGGATTGAGTGGGTAGTCCTTTCATTTATAAAGGTCTGCCAAATCTTCCCCTCTTATCTTTTTTGAGTAATATCACGTTAGGCCCTGTCTCCTACTGCTTCACACTACAGTCTCCTCTGGCATTCTCTTGTAGTCAAAACTGGCGGAGCCCACTATGACTGATCCCGGGCCTAGTCGTAATAGGCAGTCGAGGGGATGCAGTCAAAGTATTTCTCGTTCTCAACGCCTAGTCGTCTCGGCCGGATCACATCATGGCGATCTATCAACGAGAGAGACGAGAATGCACAACAGTGCCATTGACGAGCCCTACATAAGGATTGATTATGGGCCTGGCTCCACCGGCTCGGCTATTGCTGTCGACAAAGAGATTCAGAAGAAGCTGGCGGATGCTTGCGTCCGAGGAGACATTGAAGTTATAGACAAACTTATAAGACTTGGAGCTAATCCCAACTACAGTAACCCCGAGGGGACTTTAAAGCCTTCTTTATACTACGCCAGTCGCTACGGCCATTATCATTTGCTGGTAAGACTCATAGAGAGACACAATTGTAATGCTCACTACAAGACACCACGGGGTACCACTCTCCTTCATCTTGCCTGTCTACATGGCCATGATGACATTGTCAAGTATCTTACGGCATCACCCGTCCATCTAAATCCCTCAGCAAAAAACCGATTAGGTAGCACCCCACTCCATCTCGCCTGCGTAGGAGGACACCCCCATATCGTCCAGTACCTTATCGAGAACCTTCATTGTGATCCGAAATGTGTCGGAGAGCCTGATGATGAGACCCCACTTCACACGGCGTGCACTAAAGGCCACTTGGGTATCATGAAATACCTCATTGAAGTTCAAAAATGCGACCCTTTCCATCCCACACGAGTGGGAGAGACTCCCCTTCATCTTGCCTCTCAACATGGCAGAAAAGAGATAGTGGAGTATCTTATCACTGAGCAGCATTGTGATCCTATGGTTATTGACATGAGAATGAACACTCCACTTCACTCAGCCGCTCAACAGAATCACGCCGGGATCGTGCGGTACCTGGTCATGGAGCAAGGCTGTAACCCTCACGCTAGAAATCAAGAGAATTGCACTCCGCTTCATCTTGCTTGTAGATATAGTAGGATTGATGTTGTCAAGGTGAGTAATTTAGAGTATTTTGATTGTTAATTAAATCAATAGTTTGTATAGTAACTGATTCATCAGAAAAGCATGAAAACTTAGCACTATTGCCATCACAGAACAAAATAAAATTGTGCGATTGATTGTTCCATCATGTTGTTTTGTGTTTACACATGCATGCAAGCTTATGTCTTAGCATGTGAAAAGTATACTGCCTTTCTGATATTCTCTAAGCTAATTTGTACATGTTTTGTTTTTTTGCATAATGCATGTGATCATTGTGATGTGTGTACAAGTTAGCAGAACTCACACTGAAAGTTGTTTCACTGATTAGTTTATTAGCAGAACGACTACATGATGTTTTTATCCTATGCACGCAGGTCCTACTAGAAGAAGCCAAGATCTCCCCTTCTATTTCTGGGCCCGATGGAAGAACACCAATACAAATGGCTTACGACCACGAGGTTGTGAAGCACCTCATTCGTCACGGAGCTAACCCGAAAGATGCACAGGTCTCTATATTTGACGGGATGGGGATACCACCCCAGCAGCTGGAGGACACCATAGTGCGAATACTGGTTGTCGGAGACCCTAACAGTGGGAAGAGTACTCTGGTTGAAGCTCTCAAGACCCCACCGACCAGAAACTTTATATTCAGGACACAAAAGAGCAGGATTACCGACGTAGAACCATACACTGCTGGGATCATACCACACGAGATTAAGAACAGCCCGGACTTTGGTCACATTCTGTTATTCGATTTCGCCGGTCACAGCGAGTATTACAGCAGCCACTCTGTCGTCATTGACAGCGTCTGTGTCTCCCCTCCAGTTTTTGTCGTCGTCGTCGATCTCTCAAAAGACGAAGAGCACATTAAGCTCAGGCTCCACTTCTGGATACAGTTCATCGAGAATAACAGACCGACTTTCGTATCGAAGCCACACATTGTCGTTGTTGGGAGTCACGACGACATCCTTCAATCTCAGAGTGACTCGTCATACAAGCATCGCCTTATCAACAGCATCGAGAAGTTTTCAAGGGAAATCATCGGAGCGACGACACTTCAGTTCAGCGGGTTCTACCATGTCAACTGCCAGAAGATGTCCACACAGACTGAGCTAAGGAAAGTCCTCGTTAAAAGCTGCCAGTCGCTGAGGACGCACATACAAGACGACTCGCTCTGCCACGCTTTCAGCGTCTATTTATTCGCCATGTTTAGTGGGAGGGTGATGGTGACACTGAGAGAGATTGCTAACGTTGTCCGTCAGTCCGACTCTCCCTTTCCGATAGAGTATGAGAAACTGAGCAAACTCTGCGAGTCCCTCGGCTCGAAAGTAAACGTCATGTTTATACGAAACTCGGTCAACCTCCAGGAGAGTACCGTCATACTAGAAGTCAACATTCTCCTCTCAAAGATTCACGGGGTCATGTTTGCTCCTCAGGGCTTCAAAGAACACCGTCTTAAGTCGAGGAACGGGATCGTCACTTTCTCTCGTCTGAGGAAAGTTTTCGACGATTTAGACCCGAGAGTGATTGCCCAATGCATGCAGAGGCTTGAGTTTTGTCAGGAAGTGCAGGACCAGTCGGTACTTGATCTGATAAGAGGACAACACGTTCAGCAGCAACTTGAGTCGCCTGATGATGAGGTGGAACATGACGGATTCGGTAAGCATGACCTCGAAACTTGATCTCTAATCTAATTTGTACTTGTTTCCGTTCTAGATGAGTATTATTTCTTCCCTTGTCTTATTGACAGTGAGCACCCACACAAGATTTGGTCTCATGACTCCATCAGAGGCTCAGAGTAAGTATAAATAAAACTAAATGTCACTTCAAAAACTCTTCCCCCTCTCTCTCTCTCTTCCCTCAGATTTTCCTACTATACAGGCTGGTGCTTGCAAGTGAAAGAAGTAAGAAATATTCAGATTCCATGCACCCCTCCAACATAATGTAGAATCAATGATTTATGTTGTGTATGTACACTTGTTTTTTTCTGTCTTGCATACTATATTGGGAGGGGATTTTTCTATCATAAATGTTGCATGTGAGCTTCCTATGTCCTGCCATTTATACTGATAATGTAAACATTCACAGAGTGTCTGGAGTGTTTATAAGGTAAAAAGCTTTGCCTCTGTCTCTCTCTATTTCAGTCAGTCCATATCTATTGACTGCAAGTTGTACAAGTACATGTTTATCACCTAAAATGGCCCTTTAATTCATATCATTGTTTGGCTGGCATTGTTGTTTAATGTACTTTATCTAATATCCACCCCATGGGATATAAATTTCATCCACCTTTCTCCTTTTTCATTTACCTGTTAGAACATGCAGCTATTCCCTGCCAGATTCCTACATTCCCTCCTATTAAGACTTGCTTTTAATTTTGCTGCTGCTAGTAATGATGCTCCGAATCAAGGCCAGATACTGAACAGGGCCTGCAACCTCTGGAAGAATGGGATCCATTGGTTCAGCTACTGTGGGACTGAGAGCTATGTTGAGCTAAGAGAGGATTCACAGGTTAACAACATGAACTCATGATAAATGATGCCACACTTGACTTGCTGATTATAATTGTTAATGGGGAAAGAATGGGCAAAACCTGATGCATATACATGTAACTAAGAGTAGACACAATGTAACAGTGTTGTAACTTAGTCTCATGTTAAAGGAATGCTAGGGTGTCATGACTTCCACTGGTCATTATTATAATTTAATATTCCGAATTGCATCACATGCATTCTATTAGCAAAGAGCTTTATGACACGTCTTACCACATCCTTATATGTCATCCACTGAAGTGGATAAAGAGAAGGACTACATGTGCTTCCTTTAAGCCATGAGGATTATGAGAAACCATGCATGTGGAGAAAAGAGAGAGGGGGAAGAGAGAGAAAAAGAAAGAGCAGCAGAGAGAAAAAGAAATTGATAAACACACAGACAGATTATGTTTAATTACTTGTTCCATAATGAAACTGATATCATTTTTTGTATTATAGTCAATCCATTTGAGAGTAACACTTCCCCATTGTGACCGTTTGTTTGTAATACAACAGCCGCCACAATTAATTATTACAACCATAATTCATGAAGACCGCATGCACATGTACTTAAATGTACTAGTTTGTAGTACATTCTTATGATAATTTTTTACTCATATATAGTCATAGTAGAGATGTGGTTACGTGATATCTGATGCAGTAGGAAATCATTATTGTGTTTGATGCACAGTCTACATAGCTGTGGTCTAGTGATAAGTAGATTATCTTTTCCTTACTCTATATTCTTCTCTACAGGTTCTAGTCCTTGTAATGAGGTGCCTTAGGGGAGCCGAGATTGACTGCATTAAACTAAGAGCCGCCGTCATTCGTAACATCCTCGAAACCAAATCAGTCTTCATTCCAAACATACCGGTCAACGAAGGCCTCCTTGATCCAACTCAACTCTACGAGTACCCCATCGCCAGTATCAGACACGGCGTGGTACCTCTTTACGACATGTCCATGGTCCTTCATCCTTTACTCGATGTCAACTCGTCCACTTTCGACCGAAGCCACCGACACTGCATTACCCTAGACCGCCTCTTGTACTGGGATCCATACATGAACCTTGGCAGGGACATACTCAAAGAACTCTTCAACCCGGCTCAAGAGAACGTTGAGCTCTCTGATGATTTCATACTTGCGTATTCGAACAAGGTGCTAGACTGGGAGACTCTTGCATACAAGGTTTTTAAATTAGAGAAGGGGATGGTTGAAGATATCAAGCATAGGGCAAACTCAAGGTCGACTCTTCTTTGTCAAAGACTCCTCAACTCCATGATGGCATTCGAATTGATCACTTTTGGAAAACTGAGACAGATGTTGGACGGTTTCAGCGTCTTTGGAGGCAGAGACATTATTGTACGTAATAGAGAGAGAGAGAGAGGATCATGTAAAGAGAGAGGGAAAAAGAGAGGGGAAATAAAAGGGAGAGTTATACGACCTGGGAATCTGCACTTGGGGAGTCGGTATATCATTATTATTATTGCTGTATAGAAGCTCCCAGAACTGTCTTTTGTGAGAAGTTGCTGGTTTGCTATTCCCTTGAGTTTTAAACTTGTTTGTGTTACTTGTCTCCTTTACTGAGTTAACGCAATGTTTTCCTTCTTGGCCTGTTGATAATAGCTTACTTTCCCAAAAAAATGTGTTTTGAAAATAAAAGCTCACATCAGAAGTACACACAAACACACTTTCTGTATAGATGCATCTATTATCCTGTCACTGTATATAATAAAAGCTTTTTTGTTATTGTGACTATCGTGTGACAACGACTGTGTTATACTATTAGTCAGAGAAATGATCAACACAATGCATGTAGGCTGCTCTGTCTTAAGATAGGTTGCTTTGTTGCGCTGAAAAGTTTCTTTTTGATACGGCCAAGTTATGTTATTGTTACCATTTGACCCTTGACAGTCTGATACATGTAGTTTGATTATTTTATTAGTATTATTTATATTGTGGATTCTTCTGTCAATTAGTTACACATAGTCACTTGTATTTTTTTTTAAATAAATTTTTAATGGCCTCATTAGAAGTGATTTGCCTTATGTGTCCATTACGTAAAGAGGGTAATACAGAGGGAGAGAGACAGAGAGACGTCTATTGATCTGCTATTTTGCCGAGTCATTTTGAAAGTAAACATCATTCCTTGTGATAGCAAGAACCGATAACAAATTTACCTTCAGCTAATTATTATTAGTATTGTAACTGCAAGTGTTGCTACCTGCCAAATAATAGTAATAATATCTGTAATATTATTACTATTATATTCATCTCTATTTCACATCTGGGCCATTTTGGGGTTATTTTCTTTTGATGTTTGAGTGACAGAGAGTGAGTGTATGTGCATTTATGTAAAATAGTGTCTTGTTATTATTTTTTTGTTTCTTTTTATTGATAGGAATTATCAAGGAGAAAATGGTGAACCGAAATCACAAAAAAGATTTATAGTTTTTAGAAGCGACTTTTATTGACTTTTTAACTGCATTATATTGAATTGTGTGTCTTTCAAAATATATATTTTGTGTCTTTATGTATCATTTTGTGTTCTCCTTTTTTTACTTTCTTTCAATTGTTTTCTTTCTTTCTCTTTCTCTCTCTCTCTCCATTTTCTTTCTCTTAATATCCCTCTATTACTTCCACATTGTACATTTGCATGGTTATTATCATTTCAATAAAAATATGTATATTAATATTATATTATATATACAGTTAACCAAACTACCAATAAAATATATAGCCTGCGCTTTAATGCATACACAACTTATACCTTTACCAATAACAGATTCAGAACTCTTCATTACTTTGACAATGCAATTGGGTAAAGCCCCCCTAATAGTTAAGATAGGGGCAAATTCCTAATTAATGATGTCAGTGAGCCTACATGTACATGCAGCAAAAGATTGATGGTTTATACAGTGCAAAGTCTATGAGTTTAGTGTTGGTAGAAGCTGTACAAGCTCATTAAAGAGCATCCTATATCAGGAGCATGCGTGTATGCAACATACTAAGAGCTTCTTCCTTTATGGGAAAATCCAAACAGTTCATAATGGATTCTGACCCAAATCTTTCCTTTTATGGTAGCAAAGCGAGTAGACTAAATGTAGTGCCTTTGTGTATGCGGCTTTCAGTTATTATAATAACCATTACCATTAAGAAATACACACAAACACAATGATTATGCATGCAACCAGAGTCTAAACTATACAACTCCAAAATATAACAAAGCCGCTGAGCATGTCTTTATATGGTAATCCCGGGTTGAAGTAGACAAAATTATGAGAAATGACAGTTTTTGTTTTGTCATGAGATCACGAGAGCATGTGTGTGTGTGTGAGTTCGTGTGTTACATGTATGTCAAGTCAGTAATGTGAAGTGATGTGATAAGAGCTAATTTGATTTCAGTGTTTAATAACTTCCAAATTTTGAGACATATAGTTGGAGGATTATAAGTGCTCGAGGAATGTTTTATCAGAGAAATGCCGTGACCTCTGAATGAGATAATATTAGGATATCAGACACTAACACGTGACATAATCATAATTGGATTTATATATTGAGTTTTACTGGGTGTCACGTAAGTCTATAGTCAACAGAAAATGGCTACAAAAAGACCCTATCTCTCTATATGTGATATAATCATGATTGAATTTATTATATTGACTTTTCGTGGGTCTAAGTAGAGATAACGAAAGTCTATAGTCCAAGCAAAGTGGCTACAAAAAGACCCTATCTTTCTGATACTATCAGTTATCATTCCCCCAATCTTAATGTATAGAAAGTTTGAGTTGATTCCGAGAAATTATCTTCTTTAAAAATATCTTCATTCCTACCAAAACTAATCGTGTTCATTATTGATAATAATAATAATAATAATTAATAATAATAATAATAATAATAATAATGCTAAATCTGCACAGTTGTATTATAGTACATGTACATGGTCTAAAGTCACTATGAGCAGCTCTCTCTCCCTCTAGATTTTAATTTTGTTCGGATTAGCCTCTATGAGTTTGAACCAATGTCCACAGTGGCAGCGCTTGGCGTCTCCTTTGGGAAGAGTCATCCACTTGATGTGTGTAGCATCCTTTTCGCCTAAAAAGGAATAAGCCAAGACTAGTCGGATGTATATGCACAATTGCACACGTATACATGTACCATGTACATGTACATATACTCTAATCACATTATAATTGCAAGTCAAAACAATCACTTAGTCGAGACAAATTTTTAAGGACATCACTACACAAGGCGTACAAAAATGGACATCAACAAATACAAACTAGGCACCATAAAAGAGAAGCAGCATAACAAGCAAAATGTATACATCCTGTTCCTTGTAACACACACATGGTGTATGTACATGCATTAATGAGTGTGTACAGTGTGTGTGTGCTATAATTAGACGCTTGAAGAAATTAGAGTAGGGGAAATTCCTATAGATATGTCACCAGAGGGATGAGCACAAAACAGCTGAAGGAGGGAAAGGGTACGAAAGGCGAAACATTCACACAAACAATAATTGAATCAATTGTATGACAAACAAAAACAACAGGGTACGTAACGGCTCAGTTTCAGCTTGTGTGAATAAACAAGACGCTTTGTGTACATGTATAGTGGAGGCTCTGTATAATGGACACTTAGGGACAAGAAAGTTTATTATGAAGAAGTGTCCCTGAAAGGAAGGTTATTTTATACCGTAATTAGTACACTAGATGCTGTCTGTTAAATGGAGGTGTATGCTATGTCCATGTATATAGGCAGAGCCTGAAACAATAGGAAACATGAAGGGATTTTGGCCCAGATTTCTGAGTAACTTCAAAAATTCGTAAAAAAATTATTTTTATTGGAATCAGCTCAAATTTTCTACACAACATAAGAACATGTATATGTATCAGAAAAAAATATAAAAATGGAGAATTCTCTCCTAGCCATCTTTTGGCGAAATTTGGCGAAAGACCCAGTACTACTATGGTACACTGACGATTTACTGACAAGAAGCTGCATGAGCACTATGCCAAAATCTTTGTTCAAGTAATGTCATAACATAAGGTTTAAAGATTGTTTGAGTGTAATTTCAGGCTATCATTAAACTGGGAGGTTATACTATAGTAGAAGGACTTACAGACACAACCAACAATCCTTTCTCCTAGTAAGGAGGGGACAAGAGTAGGACGCTCCTTAGTGCCCCGAGGACCTCTGTTTATATTTAGATTAAATGGATCCTGAGAGAGAGAGAGAGAAAGAGAGAGAAATGAACACATAAAAAAGAGAATTAAAAGAAACGAGATAAATTAATGTATACAAACAGTAATAAAAAGAACGGGAAATAGACGGAACATAAGATAACCATAGAAGACCTTATCAAGGAGCAAACAACATAATAAAAAGTACCACACACAAACAACCTTGACAATAGCACCCAATTACATGTACATAAACAAATCTAATCCAACAAATTGAATAAGGAAGCATAACATAAAAACAATAAGCTTTTGGAACCAAGTCACATGTGCAGCACTTGGAGATTCTCAAAACAAAACAGACTCCATCTTTGACAAATTGAGCGGGTGTCTATTGCCACATAAACATGCTTTAATTGGGAGACGGTCGCAGAAAAGGGAAATTATAAATTATGTAGGCAAGCTGAGTCATGATGAAAGGGGGAAAACCCGTCACTTAATATTACGAGCATACACACATACACATCGCTAATTCGTTGTACATGCATACATGTACATGTACACATGTATGTGTTTACTTACCTCAACTCCGTCCATCAGGGCATCAATCTCCTTCTTCTCAATACCATACGAGTGCTCGGAATCAGTGACAATATTACCCTCTGGAAGGATTGAGAGAGACAAAAAATAAATGTTAGTAAAATAAACATTTGTGGTGCGCGTTAATTAGAAACACAACAAAACGCCAGATGATGTGAGGTTCACCTCTGTGTCCTGGGGGAGAATCAGAACTGGATTTCCTGCAATAAGCGAGGGAGATGCTGCGCCTCCAGTAAGGCGATGAAAGAAGGCTCCTTCCTACTGCAAACCTTGCGAGAGAGGCCATTTTGAATCGATATCACGTGACAAAAGTTATTAAAATTTTCTGAATTTTAAAAACCACTTAACCACGTGCTTCCATTATGCCAAACTTGATTAGTCTCTTTAGTAGGCTATCAAGAGTCTATGCAGGTAATTTTAGTCTTATTTAAGAAGTGTTTATGCTATTTCTTTTAGTGCCTACCTCCTGGTTGAGACAGAGTTCAGAAAGTGCTCTAGGTAAGTTTGCGTTGGCGTGGCTATGATTGATGTGGGTGTGGCCAGCCATAATAATTAATAGAACAATTTTTGCGTATTTTCAAAGATATTTAAGATACGTGAAAAATTTTTGTCCTTAAGGTAATCTTTTTGATACATCTGTTTCTATGCAAGATTTGCTGTGGCTTGCAAGAAATTTGAGATATTGCTCATGATCCTTATATATGGTCATAATTATGATAATATTTGTTTAATATAGTATCTAGTAAACAGGATGGAGTACAAATGCAGAATAATTTAACTATTTTCGCACTTGGTCAGAGATGCAGTGAGGTAAAAGAATTAACCGAGATTCACTTATTCATTTACACAAAAATAATAATATTAATAATGGTAGCACAACCAAAGAAATGCTAGCACAAAGCCTGCTTCTTCATGTGTCAATTTCCTTCTCAACTCATCTGGTTAGTTGCTATGATGTCACATGTTTGTCATTACTTACCCCTGTGTATGACACATACACATATTTATTGTAATATTACATTATTTTTCATTTATAATACTGTATAAGTGAAGGGTATAGCCCCTGTGGTACTTTTCTGAGCTGGTTACTGTCATTACATGTGACTATTATGTTCCTGCTACTCATTGTTTTTTTGGTCAGAGTTCAATTTCTATTTCTCTCTGGGTTCAGTCATTTGGTTTCATGACTCACAATGAGTCTGGACATACAGTTCATCTTAAACACACAAAACATTGAAATTAAATTATTTACAAGTCTGGTTACTGTCATTACATGTGACTATTATGTTCCTGCTACTCATTGTTTTTTTTTGGTCAGAGTTCAATGTCTATTTCTCTCTGGGTTCAGTCATTTGGTTTCATGACTCACAATGAGTCTGGACATACAGTTCATCTTAAACACACAAAACATTGAAATTAAATTATTTACAAAGTTTATCATAACAATCTGGCTAATTGAGAACTTGAATGACATGTAGCAATTCTGCCAATTCATCCTGTAGGTCTCTGTAATGGAAGACACTATGAATCAGTGCTCACAAGTCAAGAGGACTTTACTATTTATGCCGGGAGGGGAAAGTAAAGAAGAGAGAGAGAGAGGAAAGAATGATCTTTTTAAATTTATCTCGAAATTTATTGATAGGTGGAGAAGGGGCAGGTGGAAAGTTAGGAACAGAAGCTTGAAAAGATCAAAATATAAAGTTCCTTTAAATCCTCACAGACTCTATAGAGATTCAAAATGCTAGAAAAAAACACTATTATAATAATTATTTAGCAGGTGATGTCATAGATCAACTAATTTTTGCTAATTAATAATATTTATTATTAGTTTTTATTACCGCGAATATTAGCAGCCGCGAATATCCCTTTTCCTTACACAATGAAATTCGTAAAGATTAGTCCTTTGGACAACTTTTTGAATTATTTATGTTGTCATGGAAATCACTCAAATCAGGTGCATTTTTGGACGCCACACCTCTTGACCACGCCCAACCAGCCATTTTGATCGTTCTTCATAGAGTATCTTTGTGCCTCTCAAGAGCTCTCAGTAGACCTGCAAATTCTATTCCATTCACTTAAAAGTGCTCCAAAGCACCTAAACTGCTTGCACCTACATAGATTTTAGCTGCTGCATTTACTACAACCAGTTTCATTGCTTTTACAAACTCCATTAGTCTGTTAGATTTCATTCAATCAATGACTCAACCAATATCATTAACGAATAGTCAACTTTTTGCAAAAAAAGTGTTGAATAGCAATTACATCAAAGTGCCGACGAAGCATTCTTTCACTTTTTCTATTGTTTCCTATGGCTTCTATTTTACCACTAATATTATTCATTATTCAATACCAATTGGCAATTTCTGCCAAGAAGGTGTGGTTTCCTGTAAAACGCGTACGCACGTGTTTATAATTTACCCTAAAAGAGGCGTGGTAATTGCTTTTTAAATTAATTGTTATTACCTTGTTGTAGTACAGTTCTACAACAAATTGTCAGGATGCAAAGAGATATAACCCGACCTACTGTAATTGAATTTTAACACATGCGCTCGCTCATGCTCAAGTCACGTGAATGACGTGATACAAGTATGGCAAACATCGTAAAGCTTGTTAGTAGGCTGCCAAAGGCATATACAGGTAACGTTATGTTTATGAAAAAACACGAGAAGCATTTAATTCACCTGTTAGTCCTAATATGAATATACTTTATTCTATAATTAATTTCATGGCCATGTTTCTATTTAGTGCCCCTCTCTTCCTCTCTAAGATGGTACACAGTGCCTACTTCTGCTGGTATGTTAAGTTACACAAACACATGCTTTTGATCACTTCTATCGTTGTAATATGCCACATTAATTCTGGGTGTGACTTATTAAATTACTAGTGGCATAGATACCATTTACTATAATATCTGTGGTATATAGTGGGCATGGTTCATTAATTACATAATTCCCAGAAATCAACGTAACACAAAAATATCACATTTTGTATCATGAGCACTAATATTATAATTATTTTTAATTTTGAGTGTAAGGATATACGTATCAGTTTATACAGTGTCTATACATAGTATTTGATATCAAATCTACTATTCTCATACATGTACATGCAGCTAGTCGAAAGCATATCAGGTGTGAAATCAAGAACAATGTCGCTGTTGTGAAACTTGACCAAGCAGATTCAAAGGTAGAGAGAAGCTGAAAAGAGCTAAGAGCGTGTTCATTATTATTATTATTATTATTATTATTATTATCATTATTTTATTTTGTTTTAGGTTAACACTCTCTCAAAGGAACTATCTGATGAACTAGTTCAAGTTAGTGCATGTACATGTACATATGTATTATTATTATTGATTCTTAATTCTTACGTTTATTTCCTTCAGACTTTAAATGAAATCATAGATAATCCTGAGGCCAAAGCAGCTGTCATCATATCGGCAAAGCCAGGGAGCTTTATAGCCGGAGCTGATATTGGGATGCTTGACTCAGCAAAATCAGACAAAGAAGTAGAACTCTCACACTTCCCTCTGTCTCTCATTTCCCCTCTCTCTCTCCACCTCTTTCTCTTTCACCCCTTCCTCTCTCTCTCTCACCCTCTCTCTCTCTCTCTCTCTCCCTTACCCTCTCTCTCTCTCTCCCTCACCCCCTCCTCTTTCTCTCTCCGCCTATTTCTCTCTCTCTTTTCAGTTGCAAGAAATCTCAAAAAACGGACAGTCTATGATCCAGAAAATGGAAGTGGGTTCTCCCTCCTTCATTTCTTATATTCTCTTTCCTTTAGGATAACAAAAAACCTGTGGTGGCTGCCATTAATGGACAGTGTCTTGGAGGAGGGCTAGAAGTTGCCATGGGTTGTCATTATCGCATAGCAACAAAGCACCCAAAAACCTTCGTTGGACAGCCTGAGGTTATGCTTGGTCTTTTACCAGGAGCTGGTGGAACACAAAGACTACCCAGACTAGTAATAATACCTCTACTATTATAATAATAGTTATTATTTTTTTTGAATTTTGTCTGTTCAGGTTGGCTTACCGGATTCCCTCGATATGATGTTAACGGGCAAAAACGTCAGAGCTGACAAAGCAAAGAAACTCGGACTTATTGATCTTCTGGTAGACCCACTCGGTGAGTTGTACATGCACAATATCAACTCTTGACAATACCTATGCTATTCAAGGTATTCTATTCACATTTTGCTACATGTACAGGGGTATATTCTACAGTACAGCTGTCTTCCATTGTTCCTTCCCGTTCAGTTAGGGCTTTGTGTTTAAATTAGGCTTCGTCTATGTATACATGTATGCATGAGATAATGTCCATTTCTCAAAAGGGGGCTTCGACCTTCATAATAGGGTCATACATGTTTATACATGTAGCTACCACTGGTACTAAAATTTGTTTTCCAATGAAAGTGAAGTAGTCTGGTTTTGCAATATCTCTTTCCTAATAGCTTGTCAGACAGCTGCATTTGTATATACATGTACATATATGTCAATATATTTTGGTGGCTTTATGAAATGTGACATCCAGACATTATCTCATTGCCCCTAGACTCCTTTTCTTTGTGTGTGTGGGTTGAAGGTTACACTGATGTAATAAACCTCTTAATTGTTTGTGTGTGGAACTCTGTAACATGATCTACATGCATGCATGTTTCTAGTATGCATGTTGTAACCATGCTTGCATAGAGGCTGTATAGTGCTAGTATTTGACTTGTTGGCCTTTAATTTGATCTTCAGCCTCCCTCTGTTGTCTAACAAATGTTGCGAAACAAAAGATGGTGTTTTCTCAATGGCGCATGTACAAGTACATGTACATGTACAAGGTGGCAGCTAACTGCATGAACAAAGAAAGCAAATGCTTGTCATTCTTTTTTTGAATAAATGACGTCACAGGTATGCTATGAATGCTGTATAGCCACATGTACACCTGTATTATGCTGTATATACATGACTACATGTACTGTACATGTATAATTATGGGAGACTAGGGGGCATGCAACTAAAATTATGAGGAAGAGAGAGAGAGGGAAGGAAAGAAAATCAAAAGATTGTTTATTTCCAACATGTAGGAAACCACTACCTTTTTATTTATTATTTTTGTTCAAATTTCTTGGAAATCTTAGCTTGTCGTCTTAGAAAGGAAGCAGTCTATATAGTCACGAGTTGATCATTTTGTCTTGTTATTATTTCAGTGCCTGATAAGCAATATGTCTGTATCATATGCATTCAAAATAAACATTATTATTATTATTATATTATTATTATTATTATTATTATTATTATTATTATTATTATTATTATTATTAATTTATTATTATTAGGCCCTGGTGTGGCGAGCCCTGAAGAAAGGACCATGCAGTATTTGGAGGAAGTTGCCATCAACACTGCAAAGTGAGAGAGAGGGGGAGGGAGAGAGAGAGAGAGGGGGGGAGGGAGAGAGAGAGAGAGAGGGGGAGGGAGAGAGAGAGAGAGAAAAGGACTTCATATAGATTGTAGTACTCTATTTTAGTTGACAGAGTTTTGTATCCATGCATGCACCCAAAAGAAAATTGCCAAAAAATTAAGTACATCCAAATTTAAAGCATATACATGTACATATGTACATGCATGGTACTACAGTACATCCATGCACATTTAGTACAGTTACACATGTATATGTGTAACTGTGTACTATATAGTACATAAATTATAACAAATGCATGTTCAATTGTACTAATATACAATTTATTATTATTATTTTTTTTTGCAGTGCATTGGCCAATGGGACCATGTCCCTTCCCTCGAGAGAGAGGAGCTGGACTAGCATGAAAGGACTAATGTACAATCTTACTACTCACCAGAAACACGTCCGTAACTATGTCTTCAAGCAAGCAAGGACTAAAGTGCTCAAACTGACCAACGGGCTTTACCCAGCACCGATGAAGATAATGGAGGTCAGAGACAAAATACTGAATAGTGGAAAACTTTGAAGAGAGTTAAATTTGGTGATCGGCAAACTTTAATTTGGTGAATTTGTGGCCATGTGCCATTGAGCATGTGCATAATGGCTCAAAATGACTGATTTTTTTTATTGTGGTGAATGACTATCAAAATGCCAAATTTAAACTCCCTCCAAAATATCCCGCTATGTGGTATGCGACTTTTGTCTGACTAAATTATGGTGTCATGTGATTATCATGTGATTGTCTTTTGTAGTGTGTTCGAGTCGGTCTCGAGAAAGGTCTTGCCGAGGGATACGAGGCTGAGTCCATTGGTTTCAGAGAGTTGGGGATGGGGAGCCAGTCAAAGGCACTCAAGAGTTTGTTCTTTGGACAGACCAAGTGTAAGAAAAACCGGTTCGGGGCCCCCTCAAAACCAATTAATAACGTCGCCGTCCTGGGGGCTGGGCTCATGGGAGCCGGTATAGTACAGGTAACATTAGAGAAGGAGAGAGAAGGAGAATTGAGAGAGAGAGAGGGAGGGAGGGAGGGAGAGGGGAAATTATTTTTTTCCAAGCTATGTAGGAAGTTGATCTGAATCCAATCCCGATTTGGGCATACATGGATTCAGTCTAATTTACATTCTCTAAACAAAAACACTTGTACTACAGTATGAGACAAAAACACTTACTCTACACAGGAAATGCTAAACGCCGTTACACATTATTTTCATGTAGATGTACATGCTTAATAATTAAGTAGTTCTTGTTATTCTCTAAGCCTTCCTTTTCCTCCATGCGTGTGCCCATAAGTGGTTGGTTACTTGTTATGACATAATGTTATTAACATATTCGCTAGTTTATTAACTAGCTACCAACTTTATGATTTAACTCAAGAGCACCCTTATACGTCCCTGCATGATATGTATAGACATACATACATGAAGCTTTTTCCTAATAATTCACTTAGTCCAACTTTCACTATTATATCACTTATTAGTCAGTGGTGTCCCTTAACCATTGTTTGGTTCTTAATCATGTTTGACAACAGTATACATGACGTGTCTTTTACAAATTATCTAATTTAAATATTTAAAGTACTTCAACCCTCTAAGTGTATATACATCCATGCAAATCATAGTTCTGCTTATGGGTGGTCGGGACAACCACCTCAACAAATGAACCAACCAGTTCATCACTTAGACCAACCACCCAATTAATACTAATAACCATACGTAAAGCATGATATTGTAGTCTACTAGTATGGTGTACATAGATTTAAAAGGAACAATATTAGTCTCCAACCACCTCTAATTTTATTCTAGGCAGACCCTGCATAATGCATGTATGCATTTTAAAATTATTGTTATTTGGTTTGTAAAGATATCCCATTTATTTCTCTTTACATTTACCTCCAGTCAAATGCATGTACATGTACATGCACATGTTCATCCCCCACCTACTCATTCTGCATGTACATGTACATGTATATATATCCCATCTTCTTCTTCTTATCAGTTTGCACTTTGTCACCTGTTCTTACATTATGGAAGCTTCATTTCCTTTACAATTCCATGTACATTTATATACACAAAGTCTTTGTTTTCCTCCAGCTATCACTCTGAGGGTAGTTTTTTGCTATTCAAAGTTCCTTTTAATTCGAATCTCTTCCATGAACTTTCTCACTCGGTGCTTTCCCTATCAGTTCCATATGAGCTCTCTCGCTTATAAGAGCCCCTTCTTCCTCTCTGCTTTTGTTGATTGTTTTTTGTTTATTTTATTGCTTCAGTTACTGTTTACTCTCTCGCTTCTCTTTGAAGTCCAGGCATATTTCTGGTTTAATTAAATATGGGGGCGGTTGTCCATTTACATGTGTGCCATATCCCAACTGAGTTTAACAGGAAGTGGAAGCAGTTGCTTATCATTTTGGTATGCCATTGGGTTTATAGGGAGAGCCCGGTTCTCAGGGTTTCCAAGGACTGAGAGACCCAAGACCTGAGATCCTGTGATGACATTGGGCGACTAAGAACCTCTGAAAGTCTGAGTCTTATCTCACATTTCTATAGAAAGTTATTCCAGTTTTCCTTTGTCCAAACTCAGTTGGGACATAGTATATATACATGTACATGTATACATGTACATGTACATGTATAATTGTTTGTGTCTGGTATGATTTACCTCGTCTTTATTCTTTCCATGTCCTACTTCTCCTATTATGTACTCTTGCTTGTACACAATGTAGGTTAGTCTACAAAAAGGTTACAATGTTATCCTAAAGGATAAAGACGAAGAGGGTCTATCAAGAGGCTATCAACAGATATACAAAGGGTATGTACATGTACACATATAAGATCCTGTGGAAGTGTATTGATAATATTTTATGTGTGTAGGATTAATGGTAGGGTTCGCAAAAGGGCCATGACTAAATTTGAGCGAGACAGGACCATGTCAAACCTGTCTACACAACTGGACTATCAGGTTTGTAATTGCTTGCTGGTAAACTCATTTTTTATTGTATAAAAAATTATTATTATTATTATTAAACTTTACAGTACACAGAAAATGTATATGATTTACATGTATGTAAATGAAACATTAGTTAATCTTTAAATTGATTATTTTCTCTCTCTCTCTCTCTCTCTCTCTCTCTCTCTCTCTCTCTCTCTCTCTCTCTCTCTCTCTCTCAGGGTTTCAATAGGGCGGACATTGTGATAGAAGCTGTGTTTGAGGACCTAGGTTTAAAGCACAGGGTCATCAAGGAAGTGGAAGAAGTTGTTCCCCCTCACTGTGTCTTTGCCTCTAACACCTCAGCTCTCCCAATAGCAGACATTGCTAAGGGAAGCAAGAGACCGGAATTGGTATGTACATGTACCGTAAATCCTTAAATAGAAACCACATTCGAATAAACGCCGGGGTAACAATAAAATTAAACTATAAATACGCAACACTACCCTAGGAGTGACTCAGTAGTCTAGTGGATGATGCCTGAAGTGCCAGAAGTCAAAAGCATGAGGTTACGGGTTCGAATCCCGCTCTGGGCTGAAGTTTTTTTTATTTTTTATATATTTTTTCGAGATCCAAATACCATTTTAGGAAATAGACGCCCGGGCTTTTATTTAAGGAAATACGGTACATGTACACAATAACTTACATTTATTAGTTAAAGCATAGCTTTCCATGCTGTGCAGGAAATACAGCACTAGCGGTGTAGTCAAGAAAACCTTGCACCATGAGGCAAAGCCGAGTGCTGTATAGCTTTTGAGACCACACCTCGAGTGCTGTATTTCCAGTACAGCACAAGGGGAGCTGTGCTTTTACTAGTTTATGGTCATAGTGTGTGGGTGCATCAAAGGCATCAGCCCAAGGCCAAGTGAAGAATAGCCTAAAGAGAACCAAAAGAGACTGGACTATCTGCTCATGGCATCTTCTACCTCGTGATGCTCTTAGTTGGGGGTGGTCGCAGTTTATACCGTATAGCGGTTTTTTTTCGAGGATAATAAATTTCGCGAATGACCCGTATCCAGAAGTTTGCAGAATTAATTTTCGCGAATTTCTACTAATCTGCCATCTTGTACCGTATTAAATTGATTTTCAAGGAATTTAATTTCGCGAATCATGAAAAAATCTGCAAAATTCGCGAAATTTGTTATCCTCGAAAATTTCCTGCTATACGGTATAACAGGAAACCACAAACTGGGGTGTATCCTGGAAGTGCTCTGTAGCATTGGCCGGTGTCTTTGGTACACTCACGCACTTTACTATAAGCACATGTACACAATAATTTACATGTACCCTGGTAGTTTACTAGTAAATAATTGACCTTTGCATGTAGTATCTATGTACATGTACATTCTCCATGTATGTTTAGTATCCGTGTACTGTATGTGCGGTATCCGTATGAATGTGCTGTATTTCCTCTAATAGCAGCATTTCTTAGAATAGCTTTTGAATCTTGAAAAAAAATTTGAAAATAGAATAAAACTTGAGTCAGCAATGAGATTTAAAACAGTGACCTTGCACATGATTTCAGGAACCTAAGGAAGTATGTACATGTATCTACATGTACAAGGCATCTGTGTTATTTTGAGGCCAGATTTGCATGTTAATAATTCTATTTTAGCATTTATTTGCACCTGGCTTTTATTTGAGGATATACAGTACATGTACATTATAATATA